GTAAGTATAATGGGGTCAGTTGAATAGTTAGTCAGGAATTAGACTATATATTCAGAAGTCTTCCCAAGGAACTATTTTACTTCATTTCATTGGAAGGTTCTGAAGTTTCCAATTTATATGAGGCCTTTCAGAGGGTTCCAGGCAGTGTAATTGTGGAGCGGAATTTTCAATTTCCTGGGCAATTCCTTTGGAGTCAGCTACCTTGGGAATTCCATGGGGTTCCCATCCGAAATTCTCATCTGCGCTGGAATAAAAGCTGTCTGGCCAGTGGAAAATCCAGCTGATATGTGTAAGTATAGATTGAACTGTCATGTAAAAGCCTGAATCTTTGACTTATTCTCCCCCTTCTAACTTTGCTGTGCATCGAGAGCAAATCTTAGTGAATTTTCCCTGAGATCTTTCATACAATTCCTACCTGATGAGATCCGAATTTCTGCAAAATCTTATTGAATGGAGGCAAGCTGTTTCTTGACAGGCAAGAAAGGAAAACCAGCAGGCAGTTCAGCTGCATCTGCAATTCTACTCGTGGTCAACTGCAAAGGAACTTTGGCAAAGAAATCAGAGAACAGGTGTCCTTTCTGCATTCCCAACTGGGATGTGGTGTGTGTTACAGATGGTACATGTAAAAGGCATAAATTAATCTGCAGAAAGGGGACAAGTATGATGTATAAATAAATTGAAGTAAGTAGTGGCAAAATTAAGATCACCATATATTGGTGAAATGGATAGATACACTGCCAAGTTAAATTTAATGTACAAAAATGTGCAGGGATGCATTTTGATGGGAAGAATGAGGAGAAACAATTTAAACCATATGGGATAATTTTAAAGAGCATCGTTAAACAGTGACCATAGGGATGTACATATGCAAATATTTGAAGGTGTTAAGACAAGTCGACTTGACTTTTCTTAAAAAAAAGCATACACGATCTTTAGCCTTATAAGCAGAGTAAAAAAGCTAGGAAGTTATTGTAAACCTTTATGAATCATTAGGCTTTAGTAGAGTTTAAGAAAGGCCACGATGGAATAAATAACAAGAAACTGATTCCAGGAAGAAATGAAGAAATGTCCTAGAGGACATTGATTAATGGTAATTAGCAAGAGAACTAAGAGAATTTAAGAAGCTTAGTTCTACACAACAAATTGCTTGTGATCTTGGGAGATGGTTGCTCAATAGTAACACCGATAAACTAGTCATCTAGAGACCCAGGCTGATGTCCTTTGGTATGACTTCAAATCCCACCATGGCAGCTGGGGGTATTTAAATTCAGTTAATAAATCTGGAATATTAAGATAATCTCAGTAATAGTGATCAGGAAAACTATTAATCTTTGTTGCGAAAATCCATCCAGCTCACTAATGTCCTTTGATGGATGAAATCTGCCATATTTACCTGGCCTGGCCTACATATGATCCAGATCAACAGCAATCTGGTTGATTCTTAAGTGCCCTCTGAAATGCACCATGACTCATTGGGGTAGTGTGCTGAAAATCAACTCCCACTATTCCTGAGCTTGTCACAAATATGAAGAACTTTAGCCAAGCTGTCCGAAACCCCCCGTCTACCTGACTGATAAAGCCAGGTTAAAAAAAAATGCTCACGAGGTTTATGTCCTTAATAAGAAAGTGACTGTATTACGAGCAAGTTGTCTTTAACTATTGGCAAAATGTAAGTACTTTTTGCTAATTTCTCATTCTGTAACTTAGATTCTACTCCTTTTAAAATCCATCTTCACAAAAAGACAGATACACAAAGACAGACCAAGACATGATATTGAGTTTGATAAGGAAATAAGATCAGGAAATGATCTTTCAGTTTCTTCCAATTTCTTTGGAAATGACACAAGGATTTTTGTGCATCAATACGCAGTCTTTCGGCAACTAGTTGGGAATTTGTCCTGTCACTGTCATTGAACGTGATTTATTCCATCTCTTTGCCCAGTCTCCTTAGTTTAAAGCTGCATCTTCGTTTTTCATTCCATAATCCAAAGTTAAAAAGATAGAGCAAAAAATTCTTATGGTTTTTTTTGGCTAAGGCTGAGTTGCATCATGTGTTTTGGTAGGTTTATTGCTGTGAGGCCTAGTGCGTTTAATTCCCATCTTACTAAACTCATCTATTAATTATGTACCAGTCCCTGTGGTGTCTCTTACATTTGATCTCCACCCCATCTTACCAAGCACCCTTCCCATTCATTGCATATCTGCATTTTACTGGCATCCTCTGCATCCACACCATCTTTAAAATGCCACTGTGCCTGGAGAAGCACTGTTAGTCTGGAGTTGCCCTGAAAAGTTACTGACATTTGCCCCAGACACAGATGACAGAGGGAAATTGGCACCCTGCTTGGCTAATAGGGACCTGGAGGTACACAGGTAGGACTTCCTGTTCCCCAAGGAGCAGCAATGGATGGCGTGACACCAGACCACACCAGCCTAGTCTGAGTTTGCCATTCTGGTTAAAGCAGTCTCAGCCATCTGAGGAACAACCAATAGTATAGGAAGAAGGACAGTGTCCTTACTCACTTAGCCAAGGTAAATGTCACTATCTTCTGTCTGATACCTCACACACTTGACCTTTCCCTAGCTATCCTTTCCCTTCCCATCCCCTCTGCAAAGCCCTTCTCTATGCAATGTGAATCGCATGGACCTTGTATCCAAGTAAAATGTTGATTAGCTATTCTTAAAACCCTAACTCTTACTACTTGGAAGCAGATGGACAGTTTAAAGCACAAGTGTATACAATATAACATTCTCAACGTATTACTGGAGACTCCCCTTCTGCCCACTTATGGCACATAGGGTGCTGGCATTGTTTCTAAACGTAAACACCTTGCACCTTCTTCCCAGTAAAACAGTCTGGGTCCCCTTTAGTCCTAAATAGTCAAACCGTCAGGTCTTTCTGTCAGGCAGACTTCAGAGTGGATCGTATGACCACCTTCATTTCACCTTAAAGACACAGTCCCAAATCATAACAATCTTTTAGAGGTCACAGTGATACAGAACTAATTAGATAATTCTTTCAAGGATCTGACACAGGTGCAGTTGGTTTGAGGGGGGAGGGGAACAGATAGCTGTCTTCTTTGCCATGAGATTTAATGAAATAGTGATCAAGGAGAACTAATTACTGCAAGTTTGGTTGTCCTGGCAGGTTACAGGTGACTCCATGAGATTATGCAATTTTAAAATAGTCTATTTATGTCTCAGATAAATAGCCTGATCAGCATTGATGTTACATTGTAGTGGAAGCACACAAAGGTGAAAAGTTGTTCAAATCCTTTGAAATGCAGGCTTAAAATTACCAACATTGCAGGCTTCATTTTAGCTGTTCTTTAAAGATATAAACTTTATTCAAATAGTGTGATAGCAGATTGAGTACAAGCAAAGAGCAATTACAATAAATGTATGCTGATTAACATATTGTAAAATCATTAATGGACAAGAACAACATTCAATATTAGAGATGTTTTCCTTTGCTATATGTTATAGGATGTGAGTATCTGGGTTTGCCCCCAAGTGTAGGGGTGAGCATTTTAGCTGAACACTAACAAGCCATTCCAACTGGTGAGATAACTTACCCAATCAACTGTCAGTCAGCTCTGAACAAGAGCAAGTATTTAACCCTATCACAGGCCTCAATGTCGGAAAGGGTTATCTCAGCTCCAGGACATCTCTGCAGGGGTTCCTTAGGATAGCGTCCTAGGCCCAACCAACTTAACCTGCTTCATTAATTATCTTCCCTCCATCATAAGGTCACAACTGGGAACATTCATTGATGATTGAAAATGTTCAGCTGGGCTGAAAAGTCGTAACATTTGTGCCACACAAAGGCCAGGCAATGACAAACTCCAACAAGAGAGAATCCAACCATTAATCCTTGATATTCAATGACATTACCATCATCGAATCTCATATTATTGACATTCTGGAGGTTAACGTTAACCAGAAGCGGAACTGGACTAGCCATTTAAATACAGTGGCTACAACAGTAGGTCAGAGGATAGGAGATTCGCAATGAGTAACTCTCCTTCTGACTTCCCAAAGCCTATCCACCATCAACAAGGCATAAGTCAGAATACTCCCCACTTGCCTGGATGGATGCAGCTCCAACAACACTGAAGAAGCTTGACACCATTCAGGATGAAGCAGCCGGCTTGAATGACACCATATCTACAAACATTCATGCCCTCCAACACTAACACTGAGTCGTAGTTGTACATACCATCTACACTGTAAAAATTCACAAAAGCTTCTTAAACAGCACCTTCCAAATACATGTCTACTTCCATCTAGAAGAACCAAGGCAAATTACCCTCCAACCCAAATACCATCCAGACTTGGAAATATATTGCCATTCCTTCACTGTCGCTTGGTCAAAATCCTGAAACTCTCTCCCAATAGCATTCCATCTGTCTACAGCACATGGACTGCAGTGGTTCCAGAAGGCAGCTCATGACTACCTTCTCAAGGGCAACTGGTATGGAGTAATAAATGCTGGTCCAGCCACCAACTCTAATGTTCCATGAGGAAAGAGAAACAAAGATCATTTGATTGAAGAGTGTTTGAGAAAATGAAGAAAACTCATTTGTCCAAGAAACCAGAATTTCCTGAAAAATATAGGGTTAATTTCTTGAGATTCACTTGGTTTCTTTGGGACAATGTGGAATACCAAGGTTGCAAAGATTTACTTGGTTATCTGTCAGATGATGTATGCAACTACAATCATGTGACACATTGCCGTAGACACAGAATTTCCAATAGACGTTTAAAGACTTGCCAAGCCCTTCAGGAAACTGTAGAATAGCTTAGGTCAAATTTGCAGAACAAAATCTACAGTCTGCAATTTGTTCAATTAATTTCATTTTAATGTCGGATTCTGACTAGTCTTTTATCTCCTGATTTAGTATTGACTTCTCACATTGCACTGGGCTTTAAAAATGCACATTGTTACTCTTTGTTCCAAATGCCAAAAGCAGCTGAAGTAATCTTCTTGTATTTTTCAGTATATGACTGCTGCAGCACCTATGCAAGGGACCTACATTCCCCAGTACACTCCTGTGCCTCCAGCAGCTGTCCCTGTTGAAGTAAGTATTTGGATCCTCCTCTGCTGAATGACATTTAACACAATTGTACATGATTATTTATCACAAAATACTTTAGATTCATAACTGTTATTAATATTATTGTAATCCTAAATTGGGCATCAAATCTAATGCAAGTTGATGGGTTGAAAGATTTTCTGTCTGCTGTCTTGAAGGAGCAGATTTGAAATAGGTTTGAGCAGTTTTTTGTGGATGTGAGCCACTCAATCGGTAATCCCACTTGGAAAGGTCAAGGGATGGTTGTTGTGTGGAATGAAAATAGTTACCGATGCAGCAGGGAGTACTCTTTTCAAATTGAGGATTAAATTAAGGCACTTTGTTGGGATAGGACAGAAAAGAACTTACTCTGTATCCACTACTTACTGCAAATGGAAAGCCTTCAGACCCCAGCACTGTTATCTCTGTCTGATTTTCTTAAAAAGTCAAATACAGTGCAGATGTTTCTTCTACTTCATTAAAATATGTTGTGTCCATTTTTTTTAAACTAACTTTTATTCACCTTCTCTTTAATTTGTTCACTATGCCTTGTTTACTCATTCTCTGCCCTCTACTAAAGTCTCTACAATGCAGATAGAAGCCCACCAGGTCTGCACCAACCATTTGGAGACCATCCCATCCAGACGCACTTCCACCCTATCCCCATAACCCTGCTTTTACCATGGCTAATCCACCTAGCCCGCATATCCCTGGACACTATGGGCAATTTAGCACAGCCAGTCTGCCCAACCTGCACATCTTTGGACTGTGGGAGGAAACTGGAGCACCCGTCAGAAGCCCACACAGACCCAGGGAGAACGTGCAAACTCTGCACGGTCACCCAAGGCTGGAATTAAACCCAGGTCCTTGGCGCTGTGAGGCAGCGGTGCTAACCACTGAACCACCCACTGTGCCATTAGTCTCTTCCACCATCACAACTCATTACCTCTTTCTTTCTGTCCCTACGAGCAGTTCTACCCGCTTCCTTGCTTGAACATCAACAATGAAAAATAGTATGTAAAATCCTATCCGAGAGTTTGTGATAAGCCAGTATATAACATTAATAGTGTCATACATATATATTGAATTGAAACATTTATTCAAAATTCCATAACTTTTAAAATATTTTCATGATTGACAGATTATTGTGGTAGGTATGAAAATAACAGAGTATGTTCTGATTGAAGCTTTTCTAATATTATTAACTCCCTTTAGCTCCCCTTCATGAAGTCAATCTGCTTCTACCCCCTCTCTCTTCCACAGTGTCAATTCCATCTAATGCCATTATCTTTGATGCTGTAATTTATCTAACCTCCAACTTCCAAATTCCTTGCATAATTTTGGTTTCACCTAACTACATCACAGTGGTGTCAGTCTGTTTCACTAACCCTGAATTCCATCAATTATATCTCTCTCTGAACAGCAATATATTCGCTCCATCCGGATCACCTGACCCACTCTCTTAAAGGGGCAGCACATCCCAACGACATACGGAACACAACACTTAATGGTCAGCCAGAATTTAAAGTTTTTTGCCCGTCCCCACAGGATACACAGTTGCCTTCCCAACTCCTTCTCTTAAAGGTCTCAGCCCACTGCCACTGTTTTTCCACTACCACCAAGTGGGAGTCACACAATGTGGGCTTTCGGCTTGTGTGCAACAGAGGAAACTGCCTGCAGCAAGAACTGCTCCTTTTTGCTGCCGCCCTGACTGGCCTTGGAAATTCTGCTTTTTGTATCTTTCCTCCAGGGCTCCAACAACAACCCTGTGGCATGGGTCAATGCAGTATCAGTATGGGTGACTGCTCCTGGAGTGCTGCCAGTAATAAAGAGTTGTTGACCTTTGACTGATGACTGTCAGAGATAGGACATCCCCCTGTAAGATGACAAAGAATGATAGCAACCTGCTAATTTCCAGACTGACATTACCTCAGCTCTGATGGTTTTGGAATGGCCATGCCACAGTTACCACTGGCTCTTCATCTGGTAAATGGATCCAAATCTGTGACCATTGAATTCTCCCCAGTTGTTCATTAGTCCCAGAAAAGGAAAGTTGTTTGCATTGATCATTTTCAGAATACTGCTGCACACATTCAGTCATAGCATCATAGAGTCATACAGCACAGAAACAGACCCTTTGATCCAATTTGTCCATGCCGATCAGGTTTCCCAAGTTAAACTGATCCCATTTGCATGCTTTTGGCCCATGTCCCTCTAAACCTTTCCGACTCATTTACCTGTCCAAATGTTTTAAATGTTGTAACTGTACCTGCAGCTACCGTTTCCTCAGGCAGTTCATTCCACATACGAGCCACCATCTGTGTGAAAAAGTTGCCCCCAGGTCTCTTTTAAATCTTTCACCTGTCATCTTAAAAATATGCCCCCTAGTTTTGGACTCCCCCACCCTAGGGAAAAGACCTTTACTATTCACCTTATCTGTGCCCCTCAAAATCTTATAAAGGTCTATAAGGTCACCTCTCAGCCTCCTACCCTCCAGTGAAAGAAGTCCCAGCCTATCCAGCCTCTCCTTATAACTCAAACCCTCCAGTCCTAGCAACATCCTTGTAAATCTTTTCTGAACCCTCTCTAACTTAATAATGTCTTTACTATAGCAGGGCATAAGCCTTGACAATAAGTTTCATTTAGTTTTTTTATCCCATTTGCCTGTTGAGCTACCTTGGTGTTTTTCTTAGTATGTCAGCCTGCTTATAACAGTTCAGTGGTAGTGTTAGTATATCTCGGAGCTAGGAGGCTCAGGTTCAATCCCCACCTACTCCAGAGGTGTGTCATAACCTGTCTGAAGAGATTGATTGACAATATTTAAAACAGTTCCATTTGTATTCAGCTTTGTGATCCTGTTTTTCCTAGAAATTAGTAGAGAGTCCCTTCACTAAAATAAATCATCTGGGACTCATACAGAGAAAACTGGTCTTATGAGTCTGGGCTGTACTTCCTCCCAGGTTTCAGAGGTAAAAGGGATATTGTTCAAGCCACAGTGACATCTATGTTTTATTTAAAACAGTCCTACTTTTGAATTTATTTTCCATTTTTTTCTGAGCTTGCATTGAACAAAATGAAACACAGAATGCTTTGTTATTTGAATCTCACTGCTATCCATTGCTGTCTGGATCAGGAAAGATGTGATTATAATTGGTTGAAAGCAGCGTGAGCAATATTATACTCAATTCTGGCCATATTCCATAAAGAAAATTGATGCATGAGAAAGGGTATAAAGGACAGTAATCAATGTAAATCAGACATTCTGCAGCCAAGATAAAGGAAATAAAATAATATTCTTTCAGAAAATGAAGATTGAGTGACGATACAGTTCTGAATTTTAATATAACTGAAAAGGAATAGAGAAAACTAATGCTGATAAATGTTTTCCATCAGTTAATTTAACCTATTTTTTCACTGTCCAGTTTCTTTTGCAGGATGATGTAATAGTTAGGAGCTTAAACTGATGGAAAATTGATTAAAGATAAGCTAATAATTATAATATCTAGAGACAACAAATTTGGGTGATCGGTATAGCATATGTCAACTAGACATGTTGAGGGAATTTAGACTTTGGAAATGGAAATAAAGTGAGCAATGTAAAAGACTTGCAGATTTTCATTCTCCCAATGTAGTCAAAATGCCCTCCATTCAGCTGCCTGGGGAGATGGGAAAGCTTATTTCCCAAATTGCTGACGTTGCAGGTTGTTACTGTGTCTCATTAGAGTGGTGGTGAGTAGAAGTCTCATGCGATTTTGCTTCCTTCCTAACTTCAGGGTGTTGTTGCTGATACCTCCCCACAGACAGTCGCACCTTCATCACAGGAAGCCAGTGGCCAACAACAGATACCAGTGGAAACAACCAATGATCACGCACCTACCTATTCTTACCAACAAGCTAAGTAAGTGTTCCTTTTAGTCGGTACATCAAGAAAGAAAGTGCCATAGGACAATGAGTCTTTACAGAGTGTCGAGTTGAATAAATAGATGGAGAGGCGATCATGTTGACCTTGTGACTGACCCTGACACATCAATTTCTGAAAAGTCTATAATGACACAATCACATTGCAGGTTTCACTATAAGCTGAATACTCATTCAAAGAATTGGCAGGACTTTTGTACTCCACTCGCATACTTTTTCCAATATAATCGATGCCAAAGTGTCTGAGTTGGATTAATAATCAAGCACGCTCAATTAACAAATCTAAAATGGCTCAATCTACATGGGGATAACTTAGATTTGTGTTGATCCTTTCACAGACTGTCACTGCTGGTCTCTCTACCTTCCACATGTCTTTATTGTTCCCTTCATAATCCAGAAAGACAATCAAAAGGGAGGAAGCTGGTTTTGACTTTTCCTGTCCTCAGATCAGGAACTTAACCCTCATAATTCTTCTGATATGGAATGAAATTACTTCTCAGAAGATCAGTTTTGAAAGTTGCATCATGTGGTGTATTGATCCACCAATTGAATGGTTATGTAGGACAAAATTAGTTCTAGTTTTGGTTGCTGGTTTGTATTGAGTTAATTGAGCCAGTTTAGATAGTGGAGGGAGTACCACAGTCACACTTGGTGATCCTAAATTAGAATAGGAGAGAGGACCTGGCTTGCACTCATACTCGTTGTTCACTGATCCTTTTTGTAGCTTTTAAATCTGGATGCTGGCTGAATACAGAATGCCCCACACCATGCTGCAGTACAGCTGGCCCCTCTGGAACTTTTTCCCGACATCAGTTAGCGTGCTCAGAAAATCTCACCCAGAAATAATTTTATGTGCTTGGATAAGGTATAGTTTGATGGTGGCACGGTGGCTCGGTGGTTAGCACTGCTGCTTCAGAGCACTGGGGACCTGGGTTCGATTCCAGCCTTGGGTGACTGTGTGAAATTTCCATGTTCTCCCTGTATCTGTGTGTGGATTTCCTCTCACAGTCCAAAGATGCACATGTTAGGTGGATTGGCCATGTTAAATTGCCCATGGTGGCCAGGGATTTGCAGGCTAGATGGATTTAGCTATGGTAAAGGCTAGGTGAGGGGGCTGGATCTGGTTGGAATGCTCTTCAGAGGGTCTATACAGACTTGATAGGCCTCTTTCTGCACAGTAGGGGTTCTATGATAAATGCAGTCTTCAGTTAACAGGACTCTATTCTTTGTTGTGCACACGTGTGATATCTGACATTCTTTTCTGCTTTATTTCCACAGACAGTAAACAGGACTGAAAACGGGAATCATGAGCTGAAAATTGCCTTGAACCAGGAAACTTCAGTGAACATGAAGGTGGCTTCCAGTTTGCACAGGCGTCGAATGAATGCTTTTTATTTCGTACCTTACCTGACAAAAAAAAGTGTTTTTATGTGCTGTGCAAATGGTTCAGTGATGTAGTCTGACAGTTTAATTTTGCTATAAAAGCTTATTTTTAAAAGAGAAAGAAAATCCCATAAAGGGATTTGTTTTGACTTTTCATTCAGATGAACAGGTAAAATATAAATGATTTGTATGTTCGGATAGACTTAGAACTGTAAGACTGACAAGTTTGGAAGAGGAAGGAAGCTGCAGTGTTTTAGGAAAGTTTAATGGTCTTCCTCTGATATTAAGCTACTCTTTTTTTCATGTCTTTTATTAATTTGTAGGTTTTTCAGAAACGTTTAGCTAAGATTTATCTTGACTCTTAATTGCCTTAATTTTGAAGACGTCAGGCTCTCAAAGCCAGCTGTCAACATTGCGTTAGAAATTCTAGATTGAAATTATGTGCTTGGACCAAGTGGTTGGTGCAAGAATTTGATAAAAGCTTAACTTTATAGGGAGGTAAAATGCTAATAAGCTGTACAGGTTAAAACAAAAAAAAACAAAAAAAAAATGTTGCTTGTCTTCTTTTGCAGAAGAACATGGTTTTATTGATAAAGAACAAGGACAACTGACAAAATCTAAAAAAATTGCTAAGACTTTTCATGAATTTTGTCTTAAAGCAGTGGAAACTGACAATTTGCAGAAGGCTGAAGCGTTTTGCGATTTGAAACAAAAAGTGACTGCATTGTACAAAATGCAGTTTATCGCTTAAGGCAGATTGTTTTATTTACAAAGCATAATTGCTAGCAGCAGAATTAGTGCTTTATATTTGCAATCTTTTTTATTAGCTTAAAATGTTTTTAGTCTGCTTTGCTTGTCACCTTGCAGATGCAAGCTAAAGAGTAAAAGGTGCGAACTAGTTAGATAGGAGCTTATGGTTAAAAAGAAATCAAAGCAAAAGCAATAGATTGAAGAAATTGTGGACAATTTCTGTAGTCTTTAATTTTCATAGTTGTGGATCAAATGCAGCCTAAGGATGGCCTATTTTATACCAAAGATGAAGTGACACCCTAAAGCAGTCAAGAAGCTAGAGATTTTTTCTGTTGTTTTTTAAATCTTTATTTGACCTACATGGCCGGACCAGTTCTTACTTTACTTTCTTTAAACTTTTCTTCCACTGGTTACTCTCTAATAACTCATACACAGTCAGAATGTTTATCTAAAAATATTGGTGGTGCACTGGTAATAGGGGAAAATTCCATGTACATCAAAAGAAGGATTAATTCTGTAAAGTATCAATTTTTTTCTGTCCTAACTTTTGACCTTAATGTGTATTTGTAAATGTGCATTATTTGTTCTCTTCGCAAAGTTATTACTTTTTATGTCTTCCTTCATACTTTATGCATCTGGATAGCCCATTTATCTACCTCAGTCTATGCCATCTCCTAATGTGCTGAGCAGCTGTTATCCAGCATTTTGCAAAACTTCAGCTTTTTTCTTCCTTTTTTTTAATGTGCCCAGCGTTTCTTGTGTGCAGATTGCCTCCACAGGACATTGATGAGATGTACAGGTACATATCAGGACATTAGCAGCCTTGAAGTAGTTGCTACATGCCCAGGCTTAGAAATTGATCTGTTAATTGATCCTATATACACAATGGTAGCAGGTAGGACAGCCACTGCCCCAGTGACAAGCCACTTTTATACTCTACTAAAGTCAAAACCTGATATTGAAATATGCTTTCTTTGTATGTCAAAGGAATGACTTTGTGCTGGAGCTATATTGATAGTATGTGTACTGTCAAATCAAGCAGATCATCGACTCAATTTTAGAGTCCAGACAAGAAGTGACACCATTTTAGTGGTGGAAAAAAAAGTATCTCTGTATCTTTGATATTTGTGTTGTAGCTCAACATAAATATATTGTGCAAAATACAGAGTTGTGTTTCCCATTCTGAAAGGTAACTATTGCTACTGCAACATGCCGCTGCTGTCATTTAGTAATACGATCGATAGTCCATTCATTTCATGGCTTTGTTCCCAATGGGATGTTATGGTAAAGAAGTAAAGGAGCAATATTGGGTAAAGGCTGGTTATGATTATTAACATTCTGAATGTGAGAAACTATATAGAAACAACTCTTTCCCTTCTGATTTAGAGAAATGAAAGATATTGCTGACAATCAGGGATTACGAGGAGGAGAAAATCAGGAGGGCAAGGGTTGAGTTAGGCGTAAGCAATTAATGTACTTGAAACGGGGTTTAGGATATATCAGCCAATGAACATAACCAAAAGAAAAATGTCCTGTCGTGACCAACGAGCAATTCACCTCTTTAAAAACACAATGTTTGTGCCAGCACTCACAGTGGGTCTGGAATATTATTCATGGGACTGTATCTTTTTGTGTCAGTCTATCCAAGATGGATTTCAATCATATTTCTAATTCAATCTGTACAATTTGAGCTATACCTTAGACTCACCCAGAGAGTATTTTATCAGAAAGGTCAATTGAAAAAGTCTTACTTTTTACAGCTTGTTTAATTGTGCCCCTTCTTCTTCTCGTATGTTACAAGCCGCCTGTTTAATTAAATTAATATTTTTCCAAATTCTTGTAAGATAAATGAGATATTTGGAAAGTAAATATTAAGTACGTTTATTTTAATAATTCCCAAATATTTAATCAGTAGAAGTAAGACTATGGGGATTAAATTGGATCTTGTTTTACCCATTATTTTCAGCGAGGTTCAATACTGCAAGGTTACATCAAGCACTGATGATTTTGGGTAGCATTAAGGCTTTTGTGTGACCACCTTAAACTGGCATTAGGTCACTTGCGTATTATAAGATGCCAAAAGCCTGATTAAAGAACTCTGTCTTCAAAATTGGTCAGATACCAAGCAGAGCATCATCCAGCATACTGTGCTCAGTTTTTATTATTTCACTTTTGGCCTAACCAATGATCCTTAAAGGGAATTGATGGCAGCAGTGAATCCACAGTATTTCTATGGGCTGCAACCATCCTACAGTAACATCCCTCTAGTTCGGCAACCCTTTCCGCATACCAGGATCTACCTGTAAGCCACTATTGCTGGCTCTATTGAATTATCTCATGAGCCCTACGGGCTCCCACCACTCACTGTAAATATTTAGAAGAGGCCTGAGGTACAATATTGAATGAGCCTTGGGCCTTTGGCCCCTGGCTCACATTGAGGACATGCTAACCACGTCAGGCCTAAATGAATTTCTCCTCTTATCTTGAAACAAATTAACGTTTAGTGTCTCAAGGATTTGTAATTTTGTTCACATGGAAATCATGTAGAATTCTTGCAGATGTAAGAGTGCATTTCAAATTTTCACAAGAGGAATTAGATTCTTCCTTCTCCCATTTTCTGATATACTAACCATGAAGACTGAGCTTACTGGAACCCAATGCTGCATCACTGAAATATACAGAACCAAATTACATACTGGCTCAGAATAGTATATTTTACAATTCTTGTGGACTTCTAAACAAATGTTGTTTTGCAGATGAAAGATTAGAAGTTGAGCCTTTGGGAGTCGGTCCTTTTTTTTCTATGATTAACCAGTGGCCTATCATATTATCATTAATTAAATGGACAAGCATAGAGTTGTAACCCAATGAAGATGGAATGAGTGCAATATACGATTGATCTAATTTTAAAATCCCTTTACTGAGTTATTCTGAGGATCGCAATAATATGATGTTTCCTTCTTTAAAAAAGTACATATTTAGCTCAAGGAAATAAGTTAGAATTCATCTCTTTTGGATAGTGAGTCTTGGCAATCTACTTTCCAATCGCTTTAACTATGGGTCCATAATTGTTGTGGTTCTACCAAGCTTAATTGTCTCAAAGTGTGCATTTCTGGGTTGAGGGGTCACCTTTTTGATATTGAGATTTAAGATACTTAATATATGCATTACTTCTGTTCAACTGACAATACCTGTGAAGCAAGGCCAATGTTTGAGGTATAGTTCTGTGGGTGGCCTGTTTAGACGGGTCTGTACTGTGTTTATTGATGCAGGATTTGCAATTCCCTTCAACAAAATTACATTGGCGTTTGGTGAACCAGAGTGGTACTTTTGTTTGAATTTCCAAATATGGACGTGTGATATATCAGTGCTGCTAACCAATCATGAAATTTTATTTTAAAGTGTGTGCGTATATGTGTGTATGCGAGAGAGACACTATTGCCTTTCTGAGGCACTTCAAAGCACTTATCCCTGAATTTGTATCTAATTAGTATAGAGATATTTGTATTGTTATTCGTATCCTTGTTTTTCATCAATGTAAAGAGAATACAATCACAAAGAGGAATGCTGATAAGAAACTATATTGCTTTAAACAATTTGCACACAAGACATGCACATCAAATTAGCTTTAATTTTTTTGTTTGCTCTGGCAATTCCTATTCAGTGTTATCATGGGGTCATTTTCTGCTAACAAACCTCCAGTTGCAGTGTCAATGTTACATCCACAGAAAGCTATAAGTAGCAAAATACTAACACTTCTGAAGGGAAACTCCCATCCAAGTTGCCTTTTAGTTAATAACCGAAGTGCCCAGTGATGGTTAGTTTTCAAACCACAGAGAACAATGTTTGACTGATACAACTGTTGCCTCGGGTTTGGGCTTGACCTTTGGCTCGCAAAACCTTAAGCCAGACTTCTGTGATTCTGCCCAGGCTCAGGGTTAGTCCTTTGAAGCATTTTAAAATTGACTTGGCATGTTTGACAGAACTGAGTGACTCGCAAGAAGGCTCGTGTTTCTTTAAAAAAGAATGTGGTAAATAACTGGAATGTGAAAAATTCACTTCCTATTGTGGGTGTAATATCAACACTGAGTGTCATGCTGTGGCATCAGATTACTGGAGAAGGTCCCAGTTTGAAATCCTTCAGGAGGGTACATTGACATACCAGTTGATAACCAAGCAACATTATTATGTGCAGATATTGAGATTGCTCTGTGTATCAATTCAGATCTATGCTGCTTTGTTCAGACACAAAGGTTTTCATCATTTATAACCTCACAGAATAAATGTTTTTCTGTCTTTTATTGAATTTTGTCAGACACAAATCAATCCAAAATACACATTTAACCTTCCGAGTTCAAAGAATCTATTTTTTTTAAAAATGATGGCATTTCTGCATAACAGTTTCAACAAAATCTGGCGCGTGTCTTCAATTTAAATTCAGAGTGGCATATCTCTATTTCGAATGTAGTAAATGGATGGCATTATTTAACTCCAATACAAATGATGAGTCATTGTTTGGTTATTCATTGTCAAATATTGTGGGAATTTCTCAATTACCTATTAATTAAAGAGAAACCAATGCATATTATGTGTTCTTTCCAAAAGGGTCTTGACACTGATGAAATAGAAAATATTGTCCCAAATCGAATTATGAATAAATCAAAAAATAGTTTGAAAGTAAAATAAAATGTCTGTCGGCTCCACCAATTAATAGGAAAAAAAGTGTTTCCTGCACAGGCAAGCTACAGTGATGCCTCACTTCAGAGCTGCCATCCCACGATCCATGGACATGAAGCCAAACAAAACAGAAAAAATATTACCGACATCCAGCTAGTGTGTGTTTTTTTTTGTTGCTCCTTATCATGTAGGAAAAGCTACAGAACTTGGAGGGTTAAAATCCTTCTGTCTGATACTTTTTTTTTGTCATTTGTTACAAACCTGCACAGGGAAACTCTGTAACCTGGTCCTAGACCAGGGTTGTTTCACTAGTCATTAAATTATGAAACTTTTTTTTTAATTTATGAAGACCTTATTTTGTACAGTTCTCTTCATTAAAAGAAACTCATAGAGATGTCTATAAGATCAAGAAAGTTAATTTTTTAAATTTGTGTTTCAGTTGTGCCACAGAAATGCGAGGCATCACTTTGCCTGGCAGATCTTTCATTATCTGTTTGCTCCTGGAAATTTATGTAGATCAGTGGATGTTAGGTTTAAAATTCTGTTTTCTTTGAAGAAGCTTTCAATAAAAAAGAAATCTTAAAAAAAAACCCTGTTTCTATGTGCACTTTTGTTGTTGTGCTTTGGTTAAATATTTCAGTTTGTGATGTCAGAGGGTCAGTACTGAGGGAATGCTGCACTGTCGGAGGGTCAGTACTGAGGCAGCAATGCACTGTCGGAGGGTCAGTACTGAGGCAGCAATGCACTGTCGGAGGGTCTGTACTAAGGGAGCAATGCACTATCAGAGGGTCTGTACTGAGGGAGTGCCACACTGTCAGAGAGGATCAGTACTAAGGAAGTGCCACACTGTCAGAGAGGGTCAGTACTAAGGAAATGCCACACTGTCAGAGAGGATCAGTACTGAAGGAATACCACACTGTCAGAGAGGATCAGTATTGAGGGAGTGCCACATTGTCAGAGAGGGTAAGTACTAAGGAAATGCCACACTGTCAGAGAGGGTCAGTACCGTGGGAGTGCCACACTGTCAGAGAGAGTGCTCTGGATCCTGTCAGCCTCTAATTCTATCAGTCTTCCCAGGTGCAACCTTAAGTTCTATTCAATTCTAAGATTAAATTTATGACATTCTATCCAGTCCGTGGAGACAGCACATTCTTCCACCTTCTTTTTCTGGATTGTTTAAGCTCCAGGTTACTCTGCAATGAAAATCCTTACTTATCTCAGGGACTGGTTTCTGATTTATACAGTGCTACTCTCTCTCACTACTTTGTGCCATTACCACAGTACAGCCTGAGTGTCTATCCATAAGGAACATGAGTTTGTTTCACCTTCCATAGCCCAATTCGTCTCCCAAACAAAATCCTTGTTGAGCTCGACTATTTGGTTCTATGTTTGATCCATATGTTTAGTTTGTATTAGGCTGTTGCACAATATTTCTTGCTTGGCAGTGGGGAATCAAATAAAAGTTAATTAAATTGTCCTTCACCTCCTTTGCCAATTCTGCCCGTGCTTTAGACTGGAGCTTGACATCAACAATGCCATGGGGCAGGTGAATTCCTTACTGGTTTTTCAAAGATAATCTCCTTGTGCAACATGTGGCAAATTGCAACCATTCTCCAAAATCATTCTGGCTTCTGTTGTAAACCTCTATTCCACTCGAATGCCCAAATGCTAGTATTGCTACTTTAGGATCCTCAATTGTTTAGTCTCGCACCATTTTGACAAGCTTGCATACAACTGTGCTCCTGGCTTATGTGTCATGAATAATGCAATGAGGAAGAGAGTCAGCCTGGCTCCTACTTCTGGGAATCTCTGTGATGACATAGCTCCATGCAATCAGACACAGTTCTCCTATTTTCCACATGGCCAATCCAGGCTGCATAACATTGATTCAGGATCAAAATGTTGGACCAGGCTTGAGGGCCCAATGGCTGCTCATAACTCATATATCTGTAAATCCCAATAAGCAGTCCTGCAATCTATGACCACATTCCAAAGTAACTTGTCAAGGATGAAAGTATTATTTGGTGATCTTTGGGATTTTGTATCTATATATGGTATAATTTGTTCACAGACACCACCCTCGAATCTTTGACAATTTCAGTCAGCCATGGGTTCCTAATCTGCAAAGCCATGCAGTCAGTATTACGTGAGACCTGTAGAAAGGAGCTGAGCGGGTCTGTGAACCCAACATATTAATTGTTCTGTCAGACTTTGAATGCAGAGTGCACTCTTCGCTTGCTATTGCTGAAACTATCTCCTGCAACTTTGACCAGGATAGCTACAGATGGAGAAATTCCAGTCAGAGTTGAGAATTTACAGTCTTCTAACAGCATTTTATGCCATTTAGCAACTGGGAGCCTCTCAATATCCCTGGCACTGTTTTCCAATAATATTTTTCATCGGTTCATTCGTTGTGGACTTCACTGGCAAGGCCAGCATTAATTACCCATCCCTAAATAACCTTGAGAAGGTGGTCAATTGCTGAATGCTGGGGGGAAGGCTGTTCCATAGTTCTTTTAGGATGGGATTTCCTCGAATCAACGCTGATGGAGGAACAGTGATAATTGCAAGTTGGATGGTGTTCAGCATGGAGGGGAGCTTGCAGGAGCTGGTGTTTCCATGTATCTGCTACACTTGTCCTTCACGGTGATAGGGAGGTCACAGTTTTGGAAGATACTTTTGAATGAGGTTTTGGTGAGTTGAGCCAGTGCATCTTGTAGATGGCACATGCTGTTGCCAGTGTACACCAACGGTGAGGGGAGTGATTGCTTAAAGTGGTGGATGATGTGCCAATTAAGTGGGCTGTTGTGTCCTGGAAAGTGTGAAGAGTCTTGAGGATTGTTGGAGTTGCCCTCATCCAGGCAAGTGGGAAATATTCTATCAAACCCCATCCCATGCCTGGTGGACAGGCTGTGGGCAGTCAGGAGGTGGGTTACTCACTGCAGAATACCCAGCTTGTGATCTGCTCTTATAACCACATTTTTATATGGCTCCTCTTGTTCAGTTTCTGATAAATAGTGAAACACAGGATTTTGAAAAGTCAGTGATTCAGCAATGCTAATGCCATTTCCTATCAAGGGAAGATAGTCAGATTCTCTCTTGTTGGAGATGGTAGTTGCCTGGCGGTTGTATGGCATGCATGTTACTTGCCAGGCTTGGATATTGCCCAGTACTTTCTGCATATTGACATGGACTGGTTCAGTATCAATGAGTTGCAAATGATGCTGAACATTGTGCAAAACCCCCCTACTTCTGAGTTTACAATGCAAGGAAGAGAACTTATGAAATAGCTGAAGATGGCTGTGTCTAGGACAGAAGCCTTAGGAACTCCTGCAGACATGTCTGAGAACTGAGATGGTTGATCTCCAACAACCACAGCTAACTTCCTCTGTGCTAGGTATGACTCCAACCAGATGTGTGCTTTCCCCTGAGTTTTATTCAGCTCCTTGATGTCACACTTGGCCAAATGCTGCCATGATGTTTCAGCCAGTCACTGTCCCTTCACCTCTGGAGTTCAGTTCTTCCATACCAATGTTGTTTGTACCAATGTTGTATGAGGTTAGGAGCTGATTGTCTGTCACAGAACCAAAACAGAGAATTAGTTTTGTCCAACAATTACCACATGACAGCACTGTTAACAACCCCATCTATTACTTTGCTAATGATTGAGAGTAGACTGACAGGGTGGTAATTGGCCATATTAGATTAATTCAGTTTTTTGCAGGCAGGACTTACTTGGGCAATATTCCACTTGTAGGATGTCGGCTAATTCGACATCACAAGTTTTCAGTGTACTCATTGCAATGTTGTCAGGCCTATAGTCTTTGCAATATTCAGTGCCTTCATCTGTTACTTGCTATCACCCAGAGTGAAATAAATTGGCTGAAGACTGGATTCTGTAATGCTGTGGATCTAATCAAGTTGAATCATCTGCTCAGCTGGAATCATCTTCTGGCTGAAGATGATTGCATTCGCTTCCAGGTACACAATACTGGATTGTAGATCTTCTTGCTGAGATTCTCCTGGGAATTTCTGGGCTGAGAATTCAAGAACTTTTGATCGCAGTGTAGATACTGAAACCATCTTGCCATTGGCCTTCTGCATGGATCCAGCCAGCATTTGTCAGATTAGGGGAGGTCATCGAAATTTCCTGTCCTATGCACCCCTACAGGCTGGAAACCTCATAGGATTTATTCTGGTCTACAGAAAGTTTTAGGTGCTGGACTATTCTACAAAGAAAGGAAAGGCACATCCTAACTTGAGTTTGTAAAAAAAGCCGGAGGTTACAGTGTATCGGTGATATAGCTTGCATCCAAGTTGCACCCTAACCAGGATTCCTTGGGCTCCACATCAGTTATTGAATAGGTTGTTACAAATGGTCCCTTTGAAGGTACTGAGCCCTGGACCAGGACCAAGAGAATGACAAGCCACGTTAGATCAGAGAGATCTGCTGCCCTGTCTACTTCCAGGTCTTTCTGCTCCAACTCCTGCAGGAACTGTGTCAGGGTTGTGCTGAAAGTGTTCACGTTTTACAGTTACCGGTGCAGATCACCTCATGAGAAAAGATGTCAACAGCCAATTCAGGACCAAAATTTATGTCTCTGTGCTGTTGTTGGGCTGTACAAGCTGTTGTGATTTGTTACCAGTAGCTCCAAGATTGACTCTCCAAATTGGGTAGAAATTGCTCATTGCCTTTTTATTTTGTGTCCGTAGCCAGTCATAGAGAGGCAGCACATTCCCAGACAGCTAACCCAAGGAACAGAATTCAGAAAACAGACTAATAATTGAGACGTGAACTCCAATCACAGTGTGGCAGTTTTTGAATTAAATGAATTACCAAAATTTTTTTTACTGAGGAAAAGGACTTTGTGTAACTTATGCTAATGAAGGAGTTTGACCACATAAAGGATGAGATAAAAATTAATAATAAGAGGAACTGGAAGGGTTGACCTGGTCCAAGTGAGATGCATTTTGGGTAGCTCTGGGATGTAAGGACTTCTTCAGAGTCATGTCTTAGGCCCAACCATCTTCAGCAGCTTCATCAATGACCTTCCCTCCATTGTAAGGTCAGAAGTGGGGATGTTTGCCAATAAATGCACAATGTTCAGGGCCATTTGTGATTCCTTAGACACTGAAGCAGTCCATGTGCAAATGCAACAAGATCTAGACTTGGACTGATAAATGGCAAGTAACATTTGCACCACACAAATGCCAGACAATAATCATCTCCAATAAGAGACAATCGAACCAATGTTCCTAGACTTTCAATGGTGCTACCATCATTGAACCCACCACAATCAGCATTCTAGCGGTTACCAATGACCAGCAACTGAACTGGACTCACCATATGAATACAGTGGCTACAAGAGCAGGTCAGAATCCTGCAGTGAGTAATTCACCTCCTGACTCCTCAAAGCCTGTTCACCACCTACAAAGCACAAGTCAGGAATGCGATGGCATACTCCCCACTTGCCTGGATGAGTGCAATTCCAGCATCATTCAAGTAGCTTGACACTATCCAAGACAAAGCTGCCCACTTGATTGGCACTACGTCTACAAATATTCATTCCCTCGACCTCTGATGCTCAGT